CTACGTAGCTCATCTCTGAATGTTCTAAGCCCGTCCATATCAGAATCTTCAGATCTGTATGACAGTGTTATGTCGCCGGTTAAGATGATGCCGTTTGCATTGTCGCCATCAGGTGGTGAGTTTCGACATAGGTCAAACTCGAACGTTTCGAACTACTCGGTTAGCAGTTGCATGTCTCCCAAGTACGACAGCAGGATCGACGACTGGGGCGACGACGTTCGCTCCTTGCAGCAGCATCAGGCGCAGGCGCCTACTTTTCTCCCTGGTGAAAATTTTTCTTCTGATTTGGTAGAGTCGATGTCTCAGTCAATGAACTTAAACGAGCCGCCGCCGTATCCGGCCAAGAACCCGTCTGGGTCGACATACACAGTATTTGCTGGCGGAGACGAATCCTCACCGAGTCGCATCCACACTAGTCCAGGCAAGTTCATTGTTGCCGCCACGGCCGCCCAACGCCAGCAGCAACAGCAGTTTTCTGCTGCTGGTGCGATTGCGTCTTTCCCTCGTAAAAATTCAGCTCACGGCTTGTCCGGTGGTTCTTCCCTGTCGTCCGGAGGACTGTGCAACATTACCTATCACCAACAGGCCCTGAAGACGGAACGACCCCCGTCGTACGGTGAGATTTATCCGAATATATCGCATGTCAACGTCAACCGTATGCTGCGGCAGGTGCTACAAAAATCGTGCGCCGGCAATGGCGCTAATGCTGGTGGTGGTAATGGGAGCGGCTCAGAGTTGCTCGATTCGACCGGCGACTCGGCAGTCGCCGGCGGCCCTCCTACCTTGCAACAAATGAACCTAATGCAGCAACAGCACCAGCAGTATGTGACTCTGTTCGCGCAGCTTAACTCGTCTAACAATCATCAGGTTCCGCAAATGAATAACCAATTGCCTTCCGAGTTGTCCGAAATCCACTACGACACCGACATCCAGTGTGACATCGACCAGGTAATCAGGCACGAACTGAATATCGCCGGCACCCTTGATTTCAGTGTCGACCACTTTGGAAACATCTAACGTCGACGCATTATGCCAGCCGCCTGCTGCTCTGCTATTCTCTGCTCTGTTAATGCGTTTCGCTGCTAAAAATGGTATCGTGTCCATCCATGGCTGCTGGTTGCCGTCTCCGCCTGTCTGCCCATTCCCCATCGTCCGCGCTGGATGCCGGGTGTCGTGCCCGTCGTCGTCGGCCGCCGTTGGTCGTGCTGCAGTATTTTAAAACATGAGTGCGTGCGTTTGTATTCTGGACATGCTTTCGCTAACGACATTACTGTACCGAAGCTGGTCTTACCATAAACTGGTTCAAAATCAGTGGCTTCATGGCTGTGCTCCTGTCTGTATGATGTGTTAGTTTCGCTACTACCGGAAATTTGATTATGATAGTGGTGTGCTATTGCTTCTTCTGCTGTCATTCCTGACGCATTCAAAGCTTTTTTATTCATATGCCCCCTGGCCGTGTTGCTGCTGTTGTTTTATTCGAATTACTCCACCGTCAAAAAAAGGCGTTTAATCAGTCATCAATCATTCACTTGCTGACTGAAGACTGTGCCCCTTTTACTTTCTATTTTACACACCTTCTCGCTCGCATCTTTACCATCTAATGCTTGTCTCAACTTATACACTGTATAGTGTGACCTGATTTCAACTTTCTTTTGTGATGTCGTCAGTTTTCGATCGATCGACGATTTACATCTGAAACAATATGTCTGGTCATCGTCGTTTTATACCGTGTTCAGGGTGGTTTCGTGATGCTGTTCTCTCTGTAAAAATAGTATATTTTGATCTATTGATTTTGTTCTGTATCCTGTGAAACGATTTAAACGACGGCAGTTATGACGCGATATCACGCACCTAATGGTGCTGACGGCTATTTGCGTTGGCGGCGACGGTTCAAAAAATGACAGAGCAGTGGTCACACGTTTTCATTTTTAGCAGGTCGCTCTACTAATTTTTTTAACGTAAAGAAAAATGTAAAAAGTTTTATATTTTCTCGGTAATGAATAAAACTAAAGAAACTGCCTAGATTTTATAAACGTGTCAATCGTTTGTTGTTGTCAAAGCTCTAATTCGTTCACAGTTTTCAGGATGAAGTTGGAAATTTAATTATCATATGCTAGCCATTACTGTGGGGAAGGTTTTAGTGTTTTTAAATAAAACCCCATCAGTTTTTTGATCGCTGTTGGCCTAACTATGAATTGTAAACAGTTGATGTAAGCCGCTGAGGTTGAAAGTCAAGCATACTTTCAGTAAATGGCTTAAACTCTACTATATCTCGTTCCTGGTTACGTTCCACCGGGCAACCACAATAATCCAGCACTTCGTGGCGTATGTTTGTACATCTGAAATTGACACCTGACCGCTAGATGCGTTGTATATTCGTTTTGGTGTAGAAGTGTAACGACTTATCTATTTGAACTATTGTTCTTTTGTCATCAGATTCTAACATATCTTGAACAGCAGATTAACTCATCTATAATGTCTGGCCATTAGATATCATACTCTCGGCTGGTACAATGCAACATACTGTTGCGGCACAGGTCAGGTTTCTCTTCGCACCCAGGTTTGTCTCGAGTTATTTCCTTGTTTTGTATTTTCCTCTGGTCGTCTGTGTGGCCAGTTCACATTTCTTAGACAAGGCAGGTATTGAATATATTTCTGTTTTTCCTTTCGTTAATTTTATCAAACCAGACGTTTATCTGATTTGATAGATTTCTCTGTTCGAACCATAGAGCTGTTTCGCTGGTAAGTCCTTGGTAAATGCGGTTAGGTCGAGTGCATAAGGGCGGCGGATGACCACATATGATTCGGGATAAACCGAAGACAAGAGGTCACAGTCAACCATAAACATTTAGTGATTGCGTAAGAAGCCTGGAATGTCAGTCAGTCGTTATCTCTGTTTAAAAATTTGTTCGCTTCTGCACAGCTGTAAGTCTGCCGCACGATACATTGCTAACAGATTAATAGTTTATTTCCAGAGTTAATGAACGAGCAAATTCTAATGAAGACTAGTGGTCCTTTGTTTGATCCGTTTCCGTTATTAATAGATAGCTAATGGAGTGCTCAAGCTCGAATAATTCGTTCTGGTGCTCAGCCGCCGGTGCAAGGTCATGAACATTGGTGACATTCATTCTACTAATTTTGCAGCTTGGAACAACCATGGGCATCCGTAACTGACTACTTGGCCACTTACTGTATAGGTAAAAAGGCAATTGCACTTAAGTTCATATGGTCATACGTTAACCGCGCATATCGATTTTTTCAGTCACGTACCAACACAACTGTTTATTACCAGATGCATCCCTGTGCGTTTGAGCCGATGGAGTTATGTGTCTCAGTTATCGTTGGTAGTTAGCTTTTACAGACAGACTGATCCATTTTAGATAAAATAATTTGTGATGACCATTAAACGAATGCAAATATAGGGAATATCGTGGTGGCACAAAGTCGGTGAACTGTTCATCGTTATGGAGTGACTGCCCGTGCAGGTGCTGTAAGCAGATTTTTGAGGGATGGCCACAGAATCGCCTGTTTGCGAGCGAGGGCTTAATTTCCCACTTCATGTATGTGTGAGCAGCTATGGTGCTTGTATTGTCCATCTTACAAGCATCATTAGATTAAGCATTATGATAATGCCATGGAGCTTAATTTATGATGACTCACGCATACTGATATCGGCTTTCACTTGAGATGGTTCTGTTCGTTTGTTTACTTAAGTATTCGTAATGCAATCTGTTCACTTGATATTCTGCAGCTATTGCCGGCATCACAAAACTACCGGATTTTTCTGACGTTCTCTTTTAACAGAAAGCCGCATTGTAAATTCATTAATGACAATTGCCTAACAAGTATGCTTTGGGTCAATTCCAATAACTTCTGCGATGCAATGGCCTCGAAACATTTCCTATAAAATGTTTCGATGGTTCTTTACTGATCATCTGCCCGAGCCTTTGACCAGATACTAAACAAGTGCGATGCTATCGGTGTTCAAATCCATTTCAGCGTGGCTTTGTACCGCGTTAAAGCCGGTAGATAGCAAGTACTATCTGATGAAGTAATCTCAGTCCTTCTTAGTTTATTTACTGATATATGACGATGAAAATACCAAAGTAGATAGTTTTTTAATCCGCGATGCTACCTGATAACAAGCTGTCGAATTTGTGTCCGTCATTTTGGCTCTGCACCAAAGACTACAATTTGAGCTCATGAAATCTGCGGGCTGCAAGCACATAAGTATGACTAAGCCATTTTCGCTACTTTCTCAAAGAAAGTAAGCCAAAGTTTTAATTGGAATTGCCGATGTCCATTTGCATACACCAACATCGGCTTGGAGGCATAGTAGTAAGTATTAAATGGCAGCAGCACGTAAGGAATGACATTATTCATTTCCGGGTATAGGAAACCAACGTGAATTTTAGATTATAAACAGATAGTTGACCCTTTTAGATGAACTTTTTGAATATGCGCAATTTGCTGAATTCTGTGTACTCGTGTGGAAGCCCGAAGCAAGGCAGAGTATACCAGGTTGCTGACATGCAACATTGAAGATTAGGGAAGTGGAAGATCATGTTTCAGAGAAATATTTTAGTTCGCGATACAGTAACCAGTGCCTTATGGCAAAAGTGTTGCAAGACTGCCAGTACATTGGACGTCACAAACCAAAGACTTTCTGTCTATGGCTTAAGGTAATGAATGATCTCAAGAAGTGCTCAACAGTTTATCTGTTATTAAAAGAGGGTTGCGCCAACCAGAGATGCATGTTTGGGCTACGGCTTTGGTGAAGAATTTCTAGTTATTTTTCTGTTAATGCTGCCTCTTTTTGATAGGGAAGACAGAGCGCGGTAGA